TATGCATCTTCGTGTGCGCAGAATTATGCTTAAGCGCCTCGTGATTTTTATCTTGAGAGGCGCTATAGAAATGATGTTTTCTTCTTCTTCTTCTTCTTAACATGAGTCCGATTCTCTCTCCCCCCACCACCACCCCACCGCCGTCAGACATCTGGAACTTTTCCCTGCTGTGTGAACGCAGCCGAAAGGACAAGTTCCGGTACAAAAGTGGTGTGTCTGAAAACACAGTTCCAGTTAAAAACCGGATTGAATTGTCCACAAATGTTCCAGAATGTCAGTCTGAAAAGGGCTTAATTGTGCTGCAGACACGTGTAGTCAGTAATCTGACACTTTAGTGCATCTTAGTTAAAATTGAAATATTATGCCTAAACTGTCAGTGTTGCACCCTCTTCAGATAAAAACTCTGCGATGCATTTGAATTTAAATCTGCCATTGCTATTGGCTAAGAGGTACCCTGTGGCGTTAGCTGGTACCATACGATGTCACAATGCCGTTGTGAGCCTGTGCGTTATTTGCAAGTGGCTCCACCCACTCGGTCTGCCAGGCAACACCATTTGTTGCATTTTTCTAACAGGAAGTGGGAGTGGAGAAAGACTCTGGTAGAGAGTGACTTGCTCTTTAACAACTAGACAGCCTCCTGAACTGTTTAGAGAAATGGGACTGAGAAGCTAATGGCTAGACAGACTGTAGACAAAGGTTTTAGTAGCTCTTTTAAACAGTTTTAAAATTTCCCAAATCACTAATGCAATTTTTTCTTTAAACCATTAACTTCCAGTTTTGAATTAAAAGGTTAATTGTATGGAATTTTGTTGTTTTTCAGAAGAGGAACGTGAACTTCACCTCCAGTATTTCTGGTGCACCCAGGGTACAGGGTCCAACAAGGATCTCTAAACCTCCCACAAATATATAAAATGTATGGTACTACAGCTGCTGTCAGACTTGTCATTAACTTTATTCAAAGGGTGTTACAAAAGCTATCCACAACAGGAAAACATTGTGTTTAGAAATTGGGATACATAAAAATACTCCAAACTGGCCCCAAATTTCGTTTAAGTTCCATTGACTCAGTTCCATGATACAGTATGAGGGGGAAAGACGTTAACTCTGGGCAACGGGAAGGATTGTTTTTGGATTGAAATGTGGCGTGGGCAGAAATGCAGACATGAGAAAGGTTGATTGATACAGCTTTTAGTTTAGCTTTTGTCATACATGATAAGTTAGACTCTTTGCTAAAAATGTAAGCTGTGTAGTGTAGTATTTTATTGCAACACTTTTTGGGCGTGTGTGCTTCTGGTGATATTAGTAATTCACAGCTCCTTGGTTCTCAGAAGAATACCCAGCTGCATACTCTTGGAAACCCAGACTTTGTGTTGACTGCCCTCAAGAAATGTTTCCAGAATCAGATCCACCCCCCCCCCAGACAGATCCATGACTGCAGGCGGTGTGATAAACAACATCAAACTGTGGAGCAGTGGGTAATCATATATAGTGTTCCTACTTTGCTGCAGCCTTGGCCGGCCCAGGTCGTGTCTGTGCTCTCCCCCATTGGACATCATGATCTCATCGTTGTGTGACCGAGTCGCCTCTGATCTCATGGGTGTGTTGGAGGGTATTTTTGACTAGTCGAGCACTCACACCAGGAGTGGCAGGGCATCTGATACGAGTGCATCAGGCAAAGCGTCTTTGACTTGAGAGTTGTTTAATGCCTGAAATGTGAACCTGACTTCTTTTAAAAAGCATACAGTCACACTGATGAAAGCAGTTTGTCCTTCACTTGGTTGTTGGTGGAATACTTTTAAAAGTAATTTCTACTGAAATGAAAAAAAGAAAGAGAACAATACAGTTCTGCCTGGAATAATGAAACTCCAGTGTGTGTCCTACTTTTTAAAACCTGGTTTGCAGAAATGTTTTACTTCACAGGTGAATCCAGTTTGATAACAACTTGTTTCCAGAAGTTTTTCTAATCCCAACAATGCTTGAAAACGTTTTCAATTCCCTAGAATAATGTCATTCATCTGTGCCCTGCTTAGAGAATCCTGTTGGATGTGCACTATGAATCGTACCATAGTGAAGATAACCTGCAGGGAGCTGAAGGGAACTGCAGCTGTAACGTGAGGAACTCAATTCGGGCAATGTGGTGTTCATTTGAGGTCAAGTCCCTGTGAGGACTTTGACAAATGTCCTCTTTTCTGCTTTTCAAGAATTGGATTGGAAGGAACATTTTCTTAATCCGTTGGGAATTAAAGAAATGTGGATTTAGCGGCTTGAACAATCGTCTGGGAGGTGCACCTCCTGATAAACACGAAACGGCTGAACAGCTCAGTGTGAATAAACTGGGCTGCAAGACATCACAAAGCAGGGTTTAGTCCACAAAAGCTTCAGGATAAAAGCAGCCATACAGTCGAATTATTGGTGTGTGTGTGTGTGTGTGTGTGTGTGTGTGTGTGTGTGTGTGTGTGTGTGTGTGTGTGTGTGTGTGTGTGTGTGTGTGTGTGTGTGTGTGTGTGTGTGTGTGTGTGTGTGTGTGTGTGTGTGTGTGTGTGTGTGTGAGAGACGCTCTTCACAGCAAAATTCATGCGTCTTGGTTCCGTGCTGAAATCTACTATATTATAAAATCATCTATAAACTTTTTTGAGAACATCTGATAAAAAAATGCTTGAAGGAAAAACAAAAAACGTCTACATTTAACAACAGTTTTAAAACACTGCTTTGCACCGACTCTGCAGTTTTTGTTTCATCTCAGTTCTTCTTAAAGCCTATAATTGGGAGAAAATATTTATTTTAATTTTCTAGTTAATTAAAAGAATAAAGGTCTGCCAGAGGCCATCTCTGTCACTAACAGAGTTGGATTTTTACAAAATAAATGGAGCTTAAAGTAATCAGATTATAATAATATAACTGAAAAATGAAACAGTTTATCACATTTGTAACAAAAATTTGAACGTCTACTTGGATCTATTAGATCTGTTTGTATGTTATTTCCATTTCTTATTGTTACAAATTCCCACAAAGATATAAAGTTGTAGCTCATAACAGTTTGGATTCCCTGTGGTATTTTTAAGACCTTAAAAGTGCTTGAACTAGCAAGAAACAGTAACTGGAATTAGCAAAAGGTACTTTATTTTATTTAGCCGAGGAATTAATATAATCATTTTGAACATATATGTACTGGTCACACATGCTCACCAGAGTAAGATGCTGGAAAAACTATAAAAACTATCACAGTAAATAGCCTTCAACAGGACACATACTTCTGTAACTGATTTACTAGTCACTGGTGTCTTTTCAATAATTATTAACAAAACATGAACAATTTTTTTTAAAGAACCGAGACTTCACATCTGAGCGGGCATGAAGGTTGGACTCTCAGTTTCACATGAGCGGCTCACGTCTTTTTGTAATCCATCTAATATCCGATCACTTTAGCTGACGAAATTCCTGATGTGGTTTTGGGGCAGGTGTCGGGGGGTCAGCTGATTGAAAGACTTACGGAGCGTGCTATGGTCTGACCAAAGCATCACCATGTCAGAGAAAATCTTACAACTTTGTACCAAGGTGTGTGTCGTGACCAACCCTCGTGTTAACTCACATGAGGCCGTGGTGCCAAGAGGGCAGTGGTTGTGTTTAAGAGGTGGTGCGAACCCAAGGAAAGGAGGGGAGGGTGGTCGGCCATTTTTAGAACTTTTTCAATCGGTCCCTAAAGGGTCCAACATTTTAAAGATCATCATCAAATATATATTTTTAATCACAGGATGGCCTAAAATGCAGGGAAATATTATTTACAGTCAACATTTAAAGAATTTTACAACATTTTGGACTGTGATGTACTTAAATGTGTGTGTAGGTGTGCAGCAGAAGACATCCACCAGAAACAGAGTAAATATTTTATCCTGTAGCTTTGGTGTGTGCTAGCTAGCATTAGAGCAGGGGTATTCAATTCCAGGCCTGGAGGGCCGGTATCCAGTACGCTTTAGTTTAAACCCTGCTTCAACACACCTGATCAATCTGCAGGTGATTAACAGGCTTCTGCAGAGCCTGATGAGCTGCTGAACAGGTGAATAAACCACTGAATCAAAAGTGTTGGAGCAGAGAAACCACTGAAACGTACTGGATACTGGCCCTGACCAGAATCCAATACCCGACATTAGAGTGTAAACTAGTTTAAGACTGTATTGATGATCTGTCAGATGGGTTTGTTTAGAGATGTTATTTGGTTTTAATGCTCTGAAAATGTAGTTTTTCTTTAAGGGACTTTTAGGTCTGACACAGATCAGGGGAACCACATGGACGTTATCCTCTGGAGTGACTGAAGAGTTATATGGTGCAAGTTAAACATTTACTGAAAGATAAATGCATATTCTATGAACACTGACACTTACATATACCAAGTGACCCCCCGCGACCCCACTGGACCTGCCCACCTGTCACCAGTCTGTATCATGTGTGTCCTGAGTCCAGTCTGAGGATTGCATGGCCGAAGCCTCCACCTGCTCTGCCAGTGTGACCTGTCTGTCAGCAGCACTCATTGCAGAGATATGAGCTCAGCGAACGCTCAGGGGCCTCAGACTGGTGCAAGCTCTCACTCAGACAGGGGTGTATACTTAGAGATAAACCAACATGATAAACTTACACTTCCAGCGTTCAGTGTTGACACTCTTGACAGCCTCGTTCTTGATTTCTGCACGTGTGTTTGCACACTTATCTGTTCACATGTGCGTGCAAACACTTAAAATGTGAGTGCAAGCAACGTTTGTCAGTTCATTTATCAAATCAGACTGTTTCCATCAGAAAATCCTTTGTATTTTAATTTTCTCTTCTTTGGCCAGGCAGACTGAAGGTAAAAGTGGGTGTTGCATCACTTTGTCACTTTCATCAGTTCATAATTGTTCCTTTCTGTTTTTTTTTATGTATTGAGTGTTCCATTTTTCAAAATATTCATTAATTATTTATTTAGTCCCCGTCTTTTGTCCATTAACGTAATTTTTTCTGGCCTCTCGCAGGACGAAACGAGTTGATCGCTAGGTACATCAAACTTCGCACAGGGAAGACACGAACCAGGAAGCAGGTGAGTTCTCTGTAAATGCTATTAGCTGCAGTCACTATTTTTGCACTTCACTACAAAATCCTGTTGAGTGATGTGCCAACACGCAGTGGAAACCCCTCCCCCCACACTCTACCAGCCCCTCCTGTTTGGACAACCAGAGCTGATGATAGATTTAGGGTCGGGGCCCAATGCACAGATGCTATAGGATCATGTGTCGGTGTTGTTTCTTCAGCACCTCATGGATCTGTTGCTAGTTAGAGGGGAAGAGAAACTGGGGCATACCGTGCTCCAGATGGGAGATGAAGGAGGACTTGGAACTTATTTGTACTACGGTTTCTGTTTTGAAAGACCTGATGAATGAGGCGGTGATGGATGTGCTGAAGAAGGGGGACTGCTAAGTCATCTGACAAGAATGTATAAAAGAAAAATGACAAGCAAAAAGTAGCATTGACGACTCATATGAGAGCTTGATAGTGACATAATCAACAGCCTGATTTCTAAAGCATAGAAGGAGCTGGGGTTGAACCAGTAACCCACCGATTAGAGTACAATTCCGGTCCTGGAGGGCCACAAACCTGATTTCAATCTGCAGGTGATTAACACGCTTCTGCAGAACCTGGGTATTCAGGTGATTCAACCACTGAATCTAGTGTGTTGGACCAGAGAAACCACTAAAACTTGATGGATATGGGCCCTGCAGGACTGGGATTGAATAGCCCTGTCCGGACCTATGGATCTCTTATTGTGAATATGAGTCAGTTATTAATGAAGATGCTCAATATTGGCTTTTTATTCTTTTTAATATTCTTGTTTTTGCTTTAGTCGTTTATCACTGCAGGGGAAACTGCTACTTCACAAGTTGTGCCAAATAAACTGGAATGTCTCAAAAACCTTTCCTCAGATCTGTCATATTTGGACATTTTGATAGAGAGGGAGGAGAAGTAGCTTAAGAGTTTAAAGTATAATATGTGTATGGTATGTGAAAGTTAAAAGAGCCGACATTTACCAATATTACATTTTAATGACGATATCAGCCAATATTAATGCTGAACCAATAATATTGAACATCCCTAATTGTTGACGATTGTCAGATTTTTTTCATTGCTGGGTAGCAATGACCTGGTTGCGGACTTTAAAACAGTTTATCTTTTAAAAACTGATTTTTGAGGCTCAGATATGCATTTAGTTGGACAACCATTGAATTAAACCACAAAATGCTTTTTTTTTTTTTTTTTTACAATATCTGCAATTGAACTAGTCTGTTTTTTTTTTTTTTTGCTTGTTTTCTGCTGTTTGGTCTGAGAACCTTGACCCCAATAGAAAGGTCCAAAAGGCTCTGCTTAATCTCAAATCCCAATCTGTCCTATGACTACAATTCAGTTATAATAATGTATCAAATGATAACAACAGAGTGAGGGGGTCAGTCATACTTGTGCAGAGAATTATCACCTGAATCAACAGCTTGGCGCAAGTCCACAAAGCTTAAAGGTGCAGTATGTACGAATATTGTGAGAATTTTACAATGAAAAAATCCCAAAAGAGTCTAATGTTTCAGTCATTTTGGAAGGAAGGTTATACTGAAACATATTCATATCCAGCTGGCTGTGGGGATGGGCAGTTTTTCTCCTTTCAAAACAAAGGAAGGAAGAAATGGTAAATGGCCTGTATTTGATATAGCGCCCTCTAGAGTCCAAGAACCCCCCAAGTCGCTTTTTAACACAATCAGTCATTCACCAGTTCACAAACACATTCACACACTGATGGGGATGAGCTACGATGTAGCCACAGCTGCCCTGGGGTGCACAGACACTGGCACCACCGGTCCCTCCGACCACCACCAGCAGACAGGGGGGGGGGGGGGTAAATGTCTTGCCCAAGGTCACAACGACAGTGACAAACTGAGCAGGACTCAAACTTGCAACTTTATGATTACGGGGCGAGCACTTAACTCCTGTGCCACCGTAAGGAGAGACACAGCTACTGTTTACCATCAGTGAGTGTGGGGTTGCCATGTCTCCTGCGAGCTAATGCTGCAGCGCCGACAATAGTAATTTGATGACAGCCAGCAAAAAGCTCCAGAGTTGTTTAAAGTGGTTGCAGTAACCAAAATTTTCCACAGGATGCCATGTTTACTTCATTTATACTATACATAATACACCTTTAATAGTGCATTTAATTTTATAGTCTCTGAACAGCTCTCAAAAATACACTTTTAGGTCACAGTTTTATTATTGTGTAGTTTTCTGTAACAGAGGCTAGCGGATTCACTGGTCCGTACTCTTATTTATGGTACTTTATGGTTACTCTATGGTTTATACTTCCAAATGGCAAAAACAGAACTGTTTCTGGAAGCTTTACTTTATGTTTCCTTACACAACTTTCTAAATTAATCCGACCAGAGCTGCTTGGAGCTTTGAATAACTGGGCAAAGTCTAAGATGAGTGGGTTAGTGTGTGACGTTGGTGAAGTTTCCTGCAGTTGACCAGTACAGAACACAGCTCTAAAGTATGTGCTTGTGTCTTCCAGGTGTCTAGCCACATTCAGGTTTTAGCCCGACGAAAGGCCAGAGAGATCCAGGTGAAGCTGAAGGTACGCTACGTGAGTCACCTTCTATTTGTTTTTATATTATAAATAAATTACTTACTGTTTTGTTTTGTTATGTGTCTTAAAGCTGTAATCTGTTAGCCTAGTGAACTAGACCAAATTCTTGCTTTGCAAAGTTTGGTCTAGGCATGCTCCATTGGAACCTCTGCAGCTCCTACCAGGACTCTGGCTGGCCAATCACAGCTCTCTAGAGGGGTTTCAAACACATAAAGAGCTGTGATTGGTCCATTCGGAAGGGTTGTACACGCTTCAAACCCCTCGCTTCACAAACAAACACATACACATGTGCACACACTCACATGCATGCACATATGCACGCGCACACACACACACACATGCATGCACATATGCACGCACACACACACACACACACACACACACACACACACACACACACACGCACACATGCATGCACATATGCACGCACGCACACGCACACGCACACACACACACACACATGCACACTGATACACACACACGCATGCACACACACACACACGCATGCAGGTACGCACACATGCTCTGTGTGCTGTAAAAGCATGGACAGCGGGGTGGGGTGTGGGGTGGGTGGGTGGGGGGGGGGGGGGTGACAGCTTAACCCTTTGATGCATGAATTATGATATCTTCAACCATGATCTTTTTTTACATTTTTTTTCATTCGTCTTTAGATGTGGATGAAACAAATTTCAACCAATATTTTTTGTAAAAATTTATAATTTACAAATAATTTATTACATGTCCACCTCAGTGGACAGCGTGCATTCTGAGCATGAAATATGTTGGTTTGGCTTACTCAAGTACAAATGGAGGGGATCAAATGCAAGAAAGTCTTCAACAGCTGTGCTTAATAGCAAAAATAAATAAATAACAATTTTGAGTACCTGTCCACTGTAGTGACCATTATGCACCAAAGGGTTAACTTAAGTTGATGACTCTAACTTTGGTAGTTGCTTTGGTTTCTCCATTCCAACGTAACCCTGTAGGGCGTGCTGGGACCCGGGGTTCATTCGTTGATTGACAGCGCCCTCTTGCCCATACACAAATCTGTTGGTCAGTGCTCTGTCACATTGCATTATTCTTTTATTAAATTTCATTCATTGTATGAATTTGAGCTTGTAGCAGTTGTAGGCATCGGCCAACATCAATAGTGAAACAGTCCAGTGTGGAAGTGAACATATTTCACAAACACTGTATCCTGCTTTCTCTGACTATAAATAACCTAACGCATGTGTCATGAAGCAAATGAATCCCTGCATTATTGCTTTTTGGCTTTACATCTGTTTTATTGTACAGTGAAGGTTTTTCCAAGTGCCATGTTGAAAGCTTACACATCCATGTCTCCCCAGTATTTCTCAGTTTGCATTTCACATATACGCACACATGCTGACAGCCACAGCAGGCGGTCCTGCTCTCCCTCACCTTGGACGGCAGCCACCAGGGTTCAGCTGGCAGAGCTCTGTGCCGGTCACAGGGTTGGCTCCTGTGATCGGCCTTTTTAAAAACATCTATAATGTAACTGAGAGCTCTGCCACATGTACCCAACCCCCCGTCCTCCCATGTTTCAGCTATGCCCTTGTGTTAGCCAGTTCTGGGAAGAAGAATGCTTCGAGTGGCCTTGCCCAACTGTTAAAAATCCAACTTGCAATTTGTCTGGAGAGCTTAAAGTTTTAAGTCAGTTGAACGTTTTAACTTGCAAAATGTTACGGTAATACAGAAAAAACAAGCACCTAAAAAGTTGACTGAACTTAAAATTGTATTGCAACTGGTTGCTTTACTTTTTTAAGTTCACTGGACTTTTTTTTACAGAGTGAAGTGGGGCTCTGAGATTTGCAGACCGCTGAAGGAGGAGGTTCAACTCTATCACCCGTTTACCTCGACAGCAGAAGCTCAGCAGACAGAGCGGGTTTTCTTGTAATTGGTAGGCTGCGGGTTTGAACCCGACTCCCACCAGAGAATGCTGCTGTTGTGTCTTTGGGCAAGACGTTGCCTGCTGATGGTGGTCAGAGGGACCAGTGGCGCCAGTGTTCAGCAGGCCTTACCTCTGTCAGCGCGCCCCAGGGCAGCTGTGGCTACATTGTAGCTCATCCCCACCTGTAGAACCCCAAGAAGAGGCTATGCAAATACCGACTATTTACCATATTCTCTGTATGAAATCTGTTTAATGACAATTGATTGTTGCTGGTTTGATCCCAGTATGAGGAGAGTATTGATATATCACCTTGATGGTTGCCTTGACCTCCAGTGCAGCCTCTAACAGAAGCTAGTTGTCATCGCAGGCTCGCCCCTGCCAAAGCAATAAACTTAACTCCTGACCCAAAGGCCCTTGACTGTAATAGTACCTTGTTTCCAGCTCTCTGCCTGGCAGGGATTCACCAGTGATGCAAGACGGCCTCAGCCTCTCGCTTCCCCTTTTTTTGGGCTCTGCTTTTATTAGCAAGAAAAGTTGGCTGTTGACTTGAACGGAGTAAGATGAGGGCTGTCCTTTTGTCAGTTTATCTTAATGCTTACCCTCTGTCCCTCTCCGCAGGACCAGGCTGCCAAAGACAAGGCCCTCCAGAGTATGGCCACGATGTCCTCAGCTCAGATCATCTCACCCACAGCCTTCCAGAACAAGATGGCTCTCCAAGGCCTCTCTAGACCAGCGTATCCCACTACTGGTGGGGTGAGTCCTGTCCATCATGCCAGTCACACCAAGCTTGGCTCTTTTTTATTTTACTGAAAACATGGCAATCATCATGAAGCCATTCAGCTTGAAAGTTCAAGTGCAGTTAATGTGATTTTATTTTTATTTTATTTTTGAGAAGTGTTTCAGATTTTTCACATTATTTCTACAAATTGGTCGAACAGATCCTCGTACTTTGGTTTTATTTTCTTTGACAATTTATCTTTTGCAGCATCTATGAAGTTAAAACGTCTTATTTAACGGATCCACGACTACAGTTTAGACAGACTAAAACTTTTGTGATAACCTCTTTTGTTATATTGACAACCACAAGAACGATTTGACATCACATTTACCCTAAATACATTATTGTCAGATGCATCCTTTAGCCAAAACTTGCATTTAAAATGCTAATCAAACGAACTTCTTGTGCCTCAGCAACTGTTTGGAATTATTTTATCGAGGTTAAGTTCTTTTGCTTTTCCCAGTTCTGGCACGGGACACTTCCGGGACAGCCAGGAGGCCACGAAGAGTAAGTACTCTTTCTGCTTCCTCTACGGTGCTGTCCATGAGTAATTTCTCATGCGATTAGCTTAACAATCATCAGATAAATTTCAGTCAAGAAAAGAATCTGAGAACAAATCAAAACAAGTCAGAGCAATTAGAAAGAGAAGTCTTCAGCTGTCTGACATTCAACAATCCTCTGTGCTCCCCGCGTCCCTCGAGGTCAGGCAGTCCAATTAGTACATGAGATGGGGTCATGAGGCAGAGTCGGAGAATAACATGCCTCTCCCTCTCTCGTCTGTCTCCTCTCCCCAGCATTAAGCCCTTCTCCCAGCAGAGTTATGCCATGCAAGCATCAGGCCCGGTCCCAATAACAGGTGGGTGCTCCCTCTCCTCTCTGTCGCGTTGACAGACGCCTGTCATGTCAGCAAAGTGATGCAAAGCTCAGAAATGACTTCTTTTTAAATGCATTTTTAAGTTAAACTTGGCCTCTATAAAACAGCACATGTGCACATTCTCTGTCATCTGTTGTTTGCAGGTTATGAAAGCACTCCGGGGCTGTCCATGTCTCCTGGTGGCCCCCCTTGGCAAGGTCGAAGTATCGCCAGCTCCAAGCTACGAATGCTTGAGTTCTCCGCCTTTCTGGAGCACCCTCAGGACTCAGAGACAGTGAGTGTAGCTCCATCCATCTGGGACTATGTGGGAGTTATCATCATTTAAAGCCAAAATAATAACTTTAAAAAATATTTAGACTGCAACAAACCTCTGATTACTTACATTCACCACATTTAAGCCCTCGGGTGGACTCTGTCAGCAGGGATCCTACACACCATATAAGGAATGCTAAGTGAATATTAGCTAGCTCAGCCATTAAGCATTGAGGTTCAGCACCTGAAACCATCTTTGTCACTATAAAATGAATTCATTCATGCAGTAGGAAGGATTTTGAGATAGTGAGAGGATTTTACTAAATGTAGGATTTATGGTGGCAGCAGGTCGAGTTGGATAACTGCTCTTAGCAAACTAGGTATGTTCCACATTTTGTCATCTCAAATGTTCTCTTTCCATTTCCAGTTCAACAAGCACCTGTTTGTGCACATCGCCCAGTCCAACCCGAGCTACAGTGACCCCTATCTGGAGTCGGTGGACATCAGGCAGATCTATGACAAGTTCCCAGAAAAGAAAGGGGGCCTGAAAGAACTGTTTGACAACGGGCCACACAACACCTTCTTTCTTGTGAAATTCTGGGTAAAGAACTTTTTTTAAATCAGTGTACACTGCAGTACGCTCAGCATGGGATTCTGTGTGTTCTAAGTTTCACACACGGTCGTATAATCCTCCTCAAGTCATGAGGGTGAGGCGAGCACACTTGTTAATGTTTTGTAGCACCTGTTGGCTGTTAATGGCCTAGCGGTGTTGAGACAGCTTAACCATCTAAGTTGAAGGCATTTAAGTGCGATTTAGGGCCAGAATGGATGGAACGTCACGGTTCTCATGGCCTCCCTTACTGGTGGTTTATGTGCCAACCAAGTGAACGTTGGTGCACAGTGCAGCTTTTCCATTACTGTATTTGTATATGTCTGTGGTACAAGTGTGTGTGACAGCAGCCTTGGGAAGAGTGGCAGGCCTGATCTTTCACCAAAAGAAATGGGATCCCAGACACCTGTTTCTGCACGATTAGACAGGGTCCAGCCTTCATGCCCCCTGTGTTCTTATTTATAGATTCCTCTACGAACACACACACACACACACACACACACACACACACACACACACACACACACACACACACACACACACACACACACACACACACACACATTCTCATGCATAGATGACCATGCAACCCTCTCTACTCACTGTCAGAAGATGGTACCTTTACAAATAAGGTGGCTTTGAGTGAATCAGTAGTCTGCTACAAGGTCAGTCCCTTTGAGTCAGGGTGTTTCTGTTTAGATCAAACAAAAATAAATAAATAAATTCAAAGTCATGCAGTCTCTAAAGGTTATCTGAGGTAAACGATCATCTGCCGAACCATGACTTGTTGCTTTCTAAGGAAATTGCAGAGGTTAACAGATCAGCCACAGCAGAGCTGAAATCTAAAACACATCACATTGGGAAGCAGGCTGTATTTGCCAAGGGTGGACCCTCATTTAGAATAAAACTTAGTAACTGTTTGCTGCTCTGAACATCAGAGAGAAAAACACAGTTTTTGCATTGAGCACATATTTTAGAACCTACAGATTAGTTAAAGAGCAAGTCACCCCCAAATCAACTTTTTTTTTTGCTGATAAACTATATAAATGTGTATCTAATTGTGCTGCAGACATGTGTAGTCAATAGTTTGGTACTTCAGTGCATCTTAGTTAAAATTTAAATATTCTGCCTAAAACTGTCAGTGTTGCGCCGTTGTCAGGTAAAAACTCTGCACTGTATTTGAATTCAAATCTGCCACCGCCATTGGCTAAGAGGTATGCTATGATGTAAACTGGTACATTATGATGTCACAATGCCGTCGTGAGCCTGTGTGTGTGTGTATTTGTTAGCGGCACCACCCTCTCGGTCTGCCAGGCAACAGCATTTGTCAAACATGAAGAGGGAGTGAAGTGAGTTTCTTTTAGGGGGTAACTTGCTCTTTAACATGATAGTGCATTCAGCTCGGATTGTTTGCAAAACTTCATTTGAAAAGACACAAAAAACAAAGAATGCACTCGACTCAACTAGCAAGTCATAGAAAAAAGTTTGAAAGCACAAATCAAGAGTAAATATTTGTTACTTTGTGCTGTTTATGTATACTCACTTTTCTAGTTGCTAAATAATGTGGTGACATCAATGTCCCTGTACACAGATAAATGAGACAATGGAGATGACAGCCTATCAGTATCACAGTATGTTTGGCTGTGATCATAAATTAATGTATCATTTAACTTTAGTCACAAAAGACCTTACATGCTGTTTGATGATGATTCTTCCCACCACATGCCGTACCAAAGCTTTAAACCAGGATGATATGCTGAGAAATAAAGAAGTAATTTATCTATCCATCCATCTTCAGCCACATATCCGGGGTCGGGTCATGGAGGCAGCAGCCTAAGCAGGGAGGCCCAGACTTCCCTTTACCCAGCCACGTGGGCCAGCTCCACCAGGGAAATCCTAAGGTTTTCCCAGGCCAGCCAAGAGACATAGTCCCTTCAGTGTGTACCGGGTCTTCCTTTAGGTCTTCACCTGATTGGACGTGCCAGACAATCTCACCAAGGAGGCATCTTAACTAGATGCCCGTGCTGTCTGGCTCAGCTCTCTCTTCACCATGACAGACCGTTACAACGCCCACATCACTGTAGACGCAGCACCAATCCACCTGTCAATCTCACGTTCTGTTTTTCCCTCACTCGTAAACAAAACCCCAAGATACTTAAACTCCTCCACTTGAGGCAGGACCTCGTCCCTGACCTGGAGAAGGCATTCTACCCTTTTCCGACTCAAGACCGTGGTCTCGGATTTAGAGGAGTTGATTCTCTTCCCAGCTGCTTCACACTCGGCCGCGAACCGAAAACCGGAGATCACGCTCTGATGAAGCCAACATCATCTGCAAAAAGCAGTTATTTGATATTTGTGTTTTATTTAAATATTGAAAATGACAACGTGGCAAGAACTCGTTCAGTTTATTAGCACTTAGGTGGGTCGTGCTACAATCTGAAACTGAGTTGTACTCATTTTTGAGTTTGCCAAGGAAAGTTGGCTCTGGCAGCCATCTTCAGTTGTGCTGTCTGCAAAAAGGACTCTGTAGTAGATATTAAGTTTAATGATATGTTTTTCAAAAATCATCAGGTGATCCATGTGATATTTGCAATCAGAAAATTAAATTCAAGTTTATTTATATAGCGCCAAATCACGACAAGAGTCGTCTCAAGGCACTTCACATAATAAACATTCCAATTCAGGTCAGTTCATTAAGCCAATCAGAAATAATGTTTCCTATATAAGGAACCCAGCAAATTGCATCAAGTCACTGACTAGTGTCAGCGACTTTACAGCAATCCTCATACTAAGCAAGCATGAAGCGACAGTGGAGAGGAAAACTCCCTTTTAACAGGAAGAAACCTCCAGAGAATCCTGACTCAGTATAAGCAGCCATCCACCACGACTGTCATACTCGAAGACTGGGTTCGGGAGTAAGAGCGTTTATTATACAGACGGTTGGCTGAAAGCGGTGCTGGAAAGGCTGACGGATGAGGTCTGAGGAGGAAAGGTGGAGGTTTAGCTGTAGTAGCTTTGGAAATACTCTGATCATGGATCACGGTGGAACGATGACTGAGTTAAGAGCCGGTGTAGCGTCTTCCATATATAGACATGGATTGACGCAGGTGAAACGTGGAGGGAATCCCCGCGAGGGGCATGCTGGGTAATGTGGTCCAAGACGGAAGCCGGTCAACTGGGAGAGCCCGGCCTGGGGGCTTGGACTCTGACAACGACTCACTGGGGATCGAGATGACAGAGCAGACACACACACACACACACACACACACACACACACACACACACACACACACATACACACACACACACACATGTAATGTGTCTATAGTTATATTGTGATGTCTTAGTAAATATTCTATTTGGTGAAAGATAAACTTTATTGTATTTATCCTAGTGGATCTATAATTAAACAGATAAACTAGTAGTAGCACATCCAACGTCAAGGAAAGCAAAAAGTTATTATCAGGAGAGGGAGAATGTTTTAGTGGTTAGCAGCAGTGTGCTAGACGATGGCCCCCTCCATGAGGCCACCACAGCGACAAACGATGCTGAGTCCAGACAATAAAGTCAGGAACAAAAATTCAAAAAGCATCACAATAAATCCCAAACCTCTCGAGTCGAAGCCATTTTTATGTTTGCCGGTGTGGAACTAAGTTGACTTCAAAAGTTGCAAAATAGCAACCAATAATAACCACAAATCTGTCCAATGAGCAATCTATTTTTCTTCTTGCATTGCTGGATAAATGTAAACATCTATTTAATCTAAATGTAGTTTTGATGTCTACTTAGTCCAAAATTAGACTTGCTGATTATTGCTTTTCAACCTAAAAGCACACGGTGAGAAAGTAAGACAAGACAGGCTGAAACGAGTCATTCTGTCCTCCATAGATCCTTGTCACAGCTGGAGGCTCATGAGTAGCAGAAAATATTTATATGCGATTGGGTTCACTCACTAAGCAGTAAAATATAGCTTTAACACTTTGGTTGAGGGCACAGGACACTCTTAAAGTCAAGTTCAAAGCCCCGCTGTGAATCTCATACCACCTGATGAGTCTGTATGTGTGGCACTACCCGTCCCACATGCTTGACATCCGCATTATTTATTGTAAATAGATAAAAGACATTGGCAAGTGGCACCATGTTGGAAATGGACTTCTGCGGTCCTTGGGAAGAGCAGCTGGTCGGACCCATGGCATTTGGTTCCAGGGTTAAGGTGGGGACAGGAGTAACCACACCATATATCACGGCTAACATGAGAGCAAGGCAGCAATAAAGAGCAGCAGATCCAAATAGGGATGCAGACAGTGTGAACAACAGATCCGGATTGCAGGAGAAATTCTGGGTGGCGTGTTACCGACGAGCCGTTCATGGGTGAAATATTACTCTCTTAATTCATGTCTGAGCCTGGTGGAGTCCACGGCTGCGACATACGCGGCTCTGTGCCATAGGAAAAAACAAGCTCACGGCACTGTCCGCCCTTCGGTTTGTTCATCTTTTCGTATCCCAAGGGGGTCGTCCAATTCTCAAGGCATCCATGACAAAACACACAGCTGGGCATTTCAGCACTACTGTTGGGCGGAAAAGGCAGCAATAATCTTAGGTTTGAAAATAAGCTAATTAAAATGTTTGGCAACCCCCCCCCCCCCCCCCAAAAAAACCCCCTCAAATAACCCATTATGAAAGAAGTGAAAAGTGGATTTGATGCAGCCGCTGCCACAAGGAAGGTCGTGACTTGGGGGTGTGTTGAGGTGCAGGTTGGCATGGTGACAGTGACAGGCAGCTGACCAAAGCTATGGCATTCTAGATTGAATTTCGTGCTTACCCCCCTTCTCCCTTTGGCCACTAGCTACCCCCCCCCCCCCCCCTTCCTCCCCCGCTCCTCTTCAGTGCCCGTGGTCCTGTCCTAACGGATTGTCTCGCGCCTTTGAAGTGCACGGGGAATCCGATTTGAAGCGGCTCTGCTAAATTGTTACACAGCTAGCCTGCCCACCATGATCTAATCAGCCAATTGCACGCTGATGATTGTAATTGGATGAATTCCCTCGCAGGCTGTTAGGGAAGCAGGGAATGGCAGTGTGGGGAGGGCCACTGGGCCCCAGGGATGAAGACAAATAGAGAAATTACATGAGCAAAGGATGAAGACAAACAGGGCGATGAAGACATGAGAGGAGGCTGAGCGGTGTCTCAATTGCCCATTAGAAGACAAGAACCCAACAGGGGAAAAGGTAAAAGAGCCCAGCTGTCTGACAGAGGAGATTTCACCTCAGTCTGATCCAAAATCAGATTATACCCACCTCAGTTCAAAGTTGAACCAGAGAGAAGAGAGGAGTGAGCCCGTATTTATGTTTCTGCACATTTTGCACACCACCATTTTATTTTAAACAGGTTAGAGCAGTCTGGACTGAGTCAGGAAAACAAACAATTGAAATATTATTGAACACTGTGATGAGATCATGCTAATACTTTTATTTTATGCTCCTTTTATGCGACAGCAGTAGCTCAGGAGGTAAAACGGGTTGTCCAGTCATCGGAAGGTCCTAGGTTCAATCCTGGCTCCAATCAGAGATTTCTGCGGTTGTGTCCTTGGGCAAGACACTTTACCCACCTTCCCTGCTGGTGGTGGTTGGCGGGACCGGTGGTGCCAGTGTATGGCTGCCTCGCTTCTGTCAGTGCGCCCCAGGGTAGCTGTGTCATGGTCTGTGTCTGCGTCTCCCCTCATGTGTCTCCTTGTGTTCCTCATTTGTCCCCAGATCTGCAGCCCTCTAGGTTTCCCTCCCCAGGTATCCCCCTCCCAGGTCCAGTGCTCCCGTGGTCCCCCTTAGTCACGCCCCTGTAATTTTTCTTTCTGTAGTGTTTTCCTTTAGTTTCAGCTGTTCATTTCATTAGACTCTGGTGTGTTTTTCCCCACCAGTGTTTGTGGTTTTCCTCCCCCTTAGAATATTAGTTATGTTTGCTGCTCTTCTTGTCTTTAGGTTTTACTCTTAGGTCATGTTAGTTTTCTCCCTGATTAGTTAATTGCTTTCACTTGGTTTCTCTCCCCACACACCTGCAGCTCATCTCCCTCTCATGCTCCCCAGTGTATAAAACCCTGTCTGTGTCACAGTGTTTTGTCGGTCCATTGTTTGTGTCAGCGTTGTTTTGTTACCCTCCACTTGGTCTCTAGGTTTGTGCTCTTTAAGTGAGCTTTGGTCTCCCGGATTTTAGGACATTGGTTTTTTTGGCTTCCTACCCTTTTGGATTTTTTGTTCCCATCCTAATCAAAGGTATTATACTTTACCTGCCTCATGTCATTTGGTGTTTCTGCATTTTGGGTCCAAACCTCCTCCTGGCTCATATCGTGACAAGCTGTGGCTACAATGTAGTTCATCATCACCTGTGTGTGAATGGGTGGATAAAGGATTGTGTTTTGAAGCGCCTTGGGGGGTTGTAGAACCCTGAGCGGAACCTTTAGAAGAACCCTTATGGGCCATTCCCATCTGTACCGGGTCAGCCCGGGCCGGGTAGCCCCAGTCGGCCCCAGCCTGGCCTGGTTGATTCCACACATCCTTGCCTTAAGCCCATGTGGGCTGATTCTACCCACCAATCAGAGGCTTGCTCTAATGGAAGGTGTGAATTTGCTGTCAGCAGTGGGCGTGTTGGCCCTGGTCGGCCTGAAGCAGACCCCCTCGAGAAGAGGGCTGAGAATGAGCCTTGGTTGGCCCGGAAAAACACCAGGCCACCCAGATATGTAAACAACCTACGCTACCCGGCCCGGGCCGACCCGGTACAGATGGGAATGGCCCATAAGTGGAACACCATACAAATAGACCATTTTTTATAACTTGAGACTTGTTTCAGGCAACACCATCAACTTAATCAACTGGTCCATTTGATTTGCCATCCTTTATACTACTGGTAATTCCCATATTCCAATATCAGAACAATAGAAATGAAACCAAAATGTGGTTTTTAATGGGTTTTTAATGGATTGTATTAAGGGTGAGAGGAAATCCAAACCAACTAGTCCAGCCACATTTATGGGAATCATTGCTTTCAAAGTTGTGGGTACACTGTCATTGCACACTATGCTTTAGGAAGACATGGTTAGCATTTCTCTCTTTCTGGAGTCAGGTGGTTTAAGAACACATGAAGCATTTTGCTGCTTCTTTGACTTCTGAACAACATATAAGGGATCAAATGGAGATCTAAAAAAGATCCCTGAAAAACGGGTCAAAGCGACTTCAACCAGTTCTCTAGTCCAGCAGCATGACAATGTTAGAGTTTTGTGACAAGTTGTTGTTCTTCTTGTTGATCCTGTCACGTTTCTCTTTCAAGGCGGACCTGAGTGTGAACCTGCAGGATGATAGCAACTTCTTTTATGGTGTGTCCAGTCAGTATGAGAGCTCTGAGAACATGATCATCACCTCATCCACCAAGGTCTGCTCTTTTGGAAAACAGGTGGTGGAAAAAGTGGAGGTGAGATGAGAATATACCCAAAAACCAACCACTCATGTGTCTAGCATATACCTTTTCAGGGCTTCAGCTGTCTTATTTGTTTTTGGAAGTAAGAAAGCATTAAAAAGTGTTTCCCATCAGACTTGTGCTGTTTGTAATCCCCCATGACTATTATCAGTCAATTATTTATAGGAATTAGTTTTACATATTGGGTCATAGGAGCGTTAAAGAGTCATGGTCACATCACCTCCCTGAGTGAACGATCTCCTCTGGCTGAGATGGATTCCAGTCAGTTGGAGCTGATCTGTGCTCAGAAACCTGACTCACAGCCTGACTACGGCCTGCATTTCCTGCTTGCTAAACACAGTTGTTTCCCTGCCCCCACACACAGCTGATGGATTGAACAATATTAACACACACACTCAAACACAAACACACACATCCCTTGGTAGAGCCATCTGCCTCAGTAGGCCACATGATGATATTTAATGGCTTCATCATTTGATTACGGTTGTCACAAGAAATATGTTTATTGCCAAATCTGGCATGCCATATGCTGAGTTAGATTTATTCCATTGCTCACATTACAGCTTATCACGCGCATCCACAAGTCGTTTTTATGTCTGGACTGCAAACTTTATCCTTTCATGTGCTTTAAAGTCTCTAAAAATATAATAAATGCTATTTTTATTGGACTGTCTATTTATAAATCTTTATTTTCTGCAGACGGAGTATGCACGCTTTGAGAATGGTCGCTATGTTTTTCGGATTCATCGATCCCCGTTATGTGAATATATGATCAATTTCATCCACAAGCTTAAACATCTCCCTGAGAAATACATGATGAACAGCGTACTGGAGAACTTCACTATCCTACAGGTAAACGTTGGGAGGAGGGGTTTGGAGTTCTACTTCCTGTCTACATGCAATGATGTGCTACGATGATAAAGCATTTGTTTCTTAAAATGGTTTCATTTCATAGTACTTATATAAGCAATAACTTGTGTGTGTGTGTGTGTGTGTGTGTGTGTGTGCGTGTGTGTGTGTGTGTGTGTGTGTGTGTGTGTGTGTGTGTGTGTGTGTGTGTGTGTGTGTGTGTGTGTGTGTGTGTGTGTGTGTGTGTGTGTGTGTGTGTGTATTTTCAACATTTCAGCACACCTCAAACAAACACTGAGGTGCTAATCTAATAACTGCTCCATAGAAGCAATCAGATTTTCTTCTTCCAAAAGGGTAAAAGAGGGATGTAGCGAGCCTGCGAGGTTGCCGAGGCTGCGCCAAGCTAACACTGCAGTGCCAGCATTTGTTACTCGACATTAGCAAGCAAAAAGTTTCAGTTGTTTAAAGAACCAAACCCACTAAATAGGAGCAACCCAGACGTAATTTTTAGTAGCCACAGCATTTTCTTTCATTTACTTTAACTCATTCACTGCCAGCGTTTCTCACCGTTTTTACTGTTTTTTTAAGAGCCACAGAACGTTGCATGCTAGGATGATGTCAGCGCCAAAACAACCAAAACAAAGCAGAGACTCACCTCTTACATCAGGAAGAATCCACGCGTTTCAAGCTTTATCCGTTCTTTCATAATCCGTTGTTGAATTGAGATCGGCAGAAGCTTTTCCGGTTCGTGCCTCACTTTTTTTACAGCAGCGTCCCAAAACGATCTCCTAACACATGGATGTTCTGTTTTCTGATCACGACGTGTGATGTATACGGATGAAGATCGGCTTTAGAGCTGAGAAGTTTGTTCTCACGGTGCGGGGGCTCGTTCCAACGCCCACACAGTAAAAAATGCCAATGCACTGAATGAGTTAATATCTGTTGAAGAAGGCTAGAGGCTAATGTTGAGATAACAATGCTAACAGTGGATTAGAAGCAAATGCTCAACTTTAAAAATATCTCAAGCTATTTTTTCAATTACCAACAAATTTATACTACAGTGAAATGTATGTGTGAAGTGAATAAAGAGTAAATCATGTTGTTTCACCTCCTTTAATGAGTTGTTTAGAACTTTAACAGCAAGACGACAAACAACTGCACTCCTTTTTAATGTTGGACATTTTACCATAATAAGTGTATGCAGTGGCGGCTGGTGAAAAATATTTTTGGTGGGGCTGTGCTATTTTTTTTTAAACAAACTTGTGCTTTCTGAGCTTTGTGCACAACTTCACTATTTCCTGAATTAAGCACAGCTCTTTTATTTCCTGTCTTACATCATTGGACAAACTGATTAATCCAGGTGTGTCTGACTATTGGCACACTGCCTTGCGGACCAAGGTTGAAAAATACCTCATTAAATTACACATAAAATAACATAACCATAAATGGTAAATAGGCAATGCAAGAGGCAAGTAACAAAAACATTTTTTTTATTTCAACATTTGAACACGAAAAATTATGAGCAGGTCACTGTTACAGTAATGGTAGTAAACACTACTTAGACAAAATGCCAGAAATTTACACTGTTAGGACTTATGGAAAGTGGAAACACTTTCATAGGAAATAATGTCATCAGTATCCTCTTACAAATGTTATATTTCCCAGTTTTTGGGACAATAAAACATTTCTGATTCTCAATCAGATGTTTTTACATTTGAAGTAAGAACATCTAATTGAGAATCAGAAATGTTTCATTGTCCCAAAACCTGGGAAATTTGTTTGCTGCAGCAGAAGTGTAACAAGTAAAATGGAATCAGATTGATGTATGTACAAATTTACTTGAAATACACATTTACATGATTAAATATGTATAATAGGTATGTGTGTTGAAATTAGTTTTTACAGTTATTGCACATTAAACATGTTATTAAACAAATGTCCCGGTTTGTGGGACAACCAAGGATTTCTGATTCTGATTGTCTTGTTTACAGAAATGTAATGTACAGCTTACCTCTGCACCCAGCCGTTGTTCTCCCTGTCCAAACGTCCTCCGTTTCTTTGTTGGCTGCTGCACTGATGCGCTGCATTCCTCAGTCAGAGAATGAATGGAGTCCCCAATGAGACACAAGTTCCACATCCACCTTCTGTGGATCCCAGCTGTTTTGAATAACAAACACAGAAAGCAAAATAACGCATTAGCGTGATTGCATCCAGCTAGCCACTGCTTCCTGGTGTACCAATTTTGGGAGAAGCGTCGTGTGTACAGTTTACCTCTCTCCTCCTCCTGCTGGCTTATCTTTACGTCGGGCTGATCTGGTCCAAGCTCTTTGACATTAAGTTTTTCCACCATAGTTCTCCTCTCGAACTGGAGAAGAGACCGAACTGAATTCAGTGGCTGCTGAGATCCGGTATCCATGTTGTAGGCGCACTGGCGTCCATGTCTACGTCTGCGTCACGACCGTCACGACCAAAAATGTGCTGGAGTCGAGACTCTCCGAGTTCTACCGAACACCAACGAAAGCCTTGGCGGTAGCTCTATCGCCCATCATGCTTCTGAAACGTTCTGAAACAACGTCAACGCCGATTGAATACATTCCCATTCCTACCCTTTGATTTTCTTGTCAGCAATTGGACAACTGGTCCCATCTTGTTTGGGCGATTGAAAAACAGCACACAGCCTCCACCGCTCCTCAGAGACCAATATATATATATATATATATATATATATATACATATGATTTTTTTTTGTTACAAAACACACAATTAACTTAGAATATGTGATTATTGTTAATTTTATTTATTTTTTAAAATAAAAATTAAAAACACAGGGGAAACTGGGAGGGCGGCGCCCTATCGCCCTCTACTGGCCAGCCGCCACTGAGTGTATGTTCTCATTACCGTAAAACATCCATGAGTGATAACACCAGATATGACGATGTATCCACTTATGGGCAGCAGTAGCTCAACAGGTTGAGCGGGTTGCCCAGTAATCGGAAGGTTGCAGGTTCAATCCTGGCTCTGACAGAGAATTCTGCTGTTGTGTCCTTGGGCAAGACACTTAACCCACCTTGCCTGCTGGTGGTGGTCGGAGGGTCGAAGGGACCGGTGGTGCCTGTGCTCGGCAGCCTCGCCTCTGTCAGTGCGCCCCAGGGCAGCTGTGGCTACATCGTAGCTCATCACCATCAGTGTGTGAATGTGTGCGTGAATGGATGAATGATGCACTGTAGTGTAAAGCGCTTTGGAGTCCTTACTCTGAGAGGCGCTATACAAGTGCGGGTCATTTATCACTATCATTTATCAAACTAATGTGTATGACTTGTCTCATGGAACAGCAGTAAGACTGCAGTACCCAGACTTGACCACATGATGTCATTCTTCCTTCATTTTTACATATTGCACCTTTAAGAGGTTTTGATTAAAGGGCTGCCTGGTGTTGCAGTTGGTAGCACTGTTGTCTCGTAGCAAAAGGGTTGTTGGTTTTGACTACACAAGTATAGTTCTTTGATGTCAGTCTGAACTGTACACAAAAGAAAAATCGTTACAGGCCATGGAAACTAAATTCCATTTCTATCAATCCTTGTATTTAAAATTACAGAAGCTATCTCAAAAGGCTTAATTTTAAACTTTATATTTGTTTGAACAACTCAAACCACCCAGCTCCATTTGTGGAAACACGCTGCTGCTGACGTGTTACTTACCGTGAACCCGGAGCAGCTCTGCTCAACTTTTGTGAATGAGCTGCTGTGCTTCTCAGACAACAAACACAGGGAGGAAAAAGGAATTGAGTGCATCACGTTACCATAGCAACCAAGTTATCCTCAACAACAAGGTTCAAAGAAATTTGTGTTCTTTCTATTGATGGCTGCATTCCTGCAGCGCAAGCTGGGAGGACAATGACCATATTGAGCCCACGCTGGCGACCACATGGCAGCATGTCATTAGGTGTCTGAATGGGCTGATTTAGCTGATCTTAAACCAGCTCACAGTCACATACAGGCAACAGATACATGGAGACACAATGAATCAACTCTTGAGACAAGTGGTGCATTCAAATCAACTCAACAAAACAACGATTTATCAAGTTTTCCACATGTTGACTCGTTGTCCATGCACTAAAGCTGTTTAAAATGTCCCAGTGGTTCATCCATTATTTTATGAACCTTTAGTTCACAGAAATCACCTCTGCAGCTCCTACCTCTTTGTGAGTTTCAAGGTTTTAGATGCTTCTAATCTTCAAAAATGTGCTCAGACCCTATTTTACTTTGCAGTCCCATGAGCCAGCTCAAAACACCTTTAAATGCCATCAGCTTCACGTTACTTGGTATGTGGAAGTCTAAATGTCAGCAGCAATAGCACTTCCAGTGTATCCAGCAGATATTTTGTTTCTGTTCTGCTGAAATAACGGCTGAAAGCCATCTAATACATGTAAATCTATGTTATGGCCAAGACCACAGACAGCGCGCGGTCCTGGGACAGAATCTACTCACGTCCTTGTGAAACGTCATCAACGATGACTCAAGGACTGTTCCAATCCTGAGTATGCATCATGGAAAGTTTGCTCAAAGCTTCCAGATGTGTTCTTGCTCCGCCAATTGTATCGAGGATACATCAACGCAGCAACGTTTCCCATAATGTATTGCGTCGCAAACCGTTAAACTCCGAACATCAGAGGAGAAAGCTAATAACTGTAATGTTTGATATTAAAATTAAATTAAATTATATAAAGTTGTTTGTTATTGTAAATAATCATGTGTAACTGTAAATTTTGCTGTGTGTTTGGGTTTTACTCTTCAAGATCCTTCAAAATGTTACAGTGTGTGTATACATGTGTATGTGATAGGGGTTGTACGAACTAGTCGACT